CTAAAGAAAAGAAGAAATAGGGGAGACAGGATAGCAGCGTTCCAGTATCTGAGGGGCTGCCACCAAGAAGAGGGGGTCAAACTATTCTCCAATGGACCAGAGGGAAGGACAAGAAACAACAGATGGGAACTAATCAAGGAGAGAAGCAACCTGGAATTAAGGAGAAAATTCCTGACTGTGAGGACAATTAACCAGTGGAACAGCTTGCCACCAGAAATCATGGGCGCTCCGTCACTGGAGGCTTTTAAGAAGAGACTAGACAGTCACTTGTCTGAGATGGTATAGATTATCCTGCTTGAGCGGGGCTAGACTAGAAGACCTCTAATGTCCCTTCCAGCTCTATTCTATTCCATTCCATATTTTCTCTATTCCATTCCATTCCATATTTTCTCTATTCCATTCCATTCCATATTTTCTCTATTCTATTCCATTCCATTCCATTCCATATTTTTTCTATTCTGTTCTATTCCGTTCCGTTCTGTTCCACTCCGTTCCGTTCCATTCCATATTTTTTCTATTCTATTCCATTCCATTCCATTCTATTCCATTCCATATTTTTTCTATTCTATTCTATTCTATTCTATTCTATTCTATTCTATTCTATTCTATTCTATTCCCCATAGACTTTATTATATACACTGACAGATTTGGTGGGCGGTTAAAAGCACCCTACATCTTTTTTATTATGCAAAAAAAGCTTCAGAAGATCCATCGGGAACAAGGGGAAGCCCAGGGTGAGATGTGGGGGACAGGCACATTCCTGGCAATGGCCTGACTTCCGTTCTCCCCTTTAATTTGTTAAAAAGTGAGGAGCGCAGAGACTTGACCCTAGCTGGCTGGAAGTCTGGCTCCATCCTCCCTCCTAAGGGGCACCCAGGCGAACCCCATGGTAGCAGTGGGAAGGCAGCCCTGGGTGAGGGGGGGGGGGGAGATCCAGGGGCTGCCCGTATACGCCAGAGCTAATGAACAAGGTAAGCTTGCAAAAACTGCATTTTCTCAGAGCAATTTTTAGCCAGCTTCCCGGGGCTGCCTTGCTCCCACATGCAGAAGAGAGATAATCTCAAGGTTTTGGCTGTTTTTTGATCTTTCTGGGGAGGTGGGTGGGAGGGACCCCAGGGGAGAAGGGGAAATGACACGCATGAGAATAGCCCCCTCCTACGCAAGCAAGCTTTGATTGCTTGGGAAAGAGACACAAAGCACATTCCTTGTTCCCTTCAGCCTTCCCTCTCTGCCCCCTGGAAACCTTTTTTTAGCCCTTACGTGCCCCCCCCCAAAAAAAATGCTCTGCGTGCAAGCAGATCCTCCTCCAGCCAGCCCTCCCTCTGTTGAACAGCCAGATGTTCCCACATTGACCTACTCTGGAGTCAGTCCGGTTTGGTTTCATGGGGCTGGACCTCACAGAAAGAATGCGCTATTGGAATAGAATAGAATAGAAAATTAGAATAGAATAGCATAGCATAGCATAGCTTAGCATAGAATAGAATAGAATAGAATAGAATAGAATAGAATAGAATAGAATAGAATAGAATAGAATAGAATAACAGAGTTGGAAGGGATCTTGGAGGTCTTCTAGTCCAACCACCTGCTCAGACAGGAAACTCTATACCATATAATAATAATAATAATAATAATAATAATAATAATAATAATAATAGAATTGGAAGGGACTTTGGAGGTCATTTAGTCCAACCCCCTGCTCAGGCAGGAAACCCTACATCATTTCAGACTGGTGGCTGTCCAGTCTCTTCTTAAAAATCTCCAGTGATGTAGTGCCCACAATTTCTAGTGGCAAGCTGTTCCACTGGTGAATTGTTCTGATTGTCAGGAAGTTTCTCTTTAGTTCCAGGTTGCTTCTCTCCTTGATCAGTTTCAGCCTGTTTCTTCTTGTCCTGCCTTTGGGCCCTTTGGAAAATAGCTTGACTCCCTCTTCTTTGGGGCAGCCCCTGAGATATTAGAACACTGCTATCATGTCCCCCCTCGTCCTTCTCTTCATTAAACTGGACATCCCCAATTCCAGTAGCCGTTCCTTATATGCTTTAGCCTCCAGTCCCCTGATCATCTTTGTTGCTCTTCTCTGCACTCTTTCTAGCCCAGTGGTTCTCAACCTGTGGGTCGGGACCCCATTTGGGGTCGAACGACCATTTCACGGGGGTCGCCAAACCAGGCTGTCCGCCATTTTTCCCCCTTTTCTTTGGCCACGCCCCTGGCACCCGGTGATGTATAAGTGGTTGGGGGTCACCACAACATGGGGAGCTGTATTATGGGGTCGCGGCATTAGAAAGGTTGAGAACCATTGTTCTAGAGTCTCAACTTCTTTTTTGACATCGTGGCGACCAAAACTGAATGTAGGATTCCAAGTGTAGCCTTACCAAGGCCTTGTAAAGTGGTATTAATACTTCACGTAATCTTGATTCTATCCCTCTGTTGATGCAGCCCAGCACTGTGTTGGCCTTTTTGGCAGCTGCAGCACACAGCTGGCTCCCGTTTAAGGGATCGTCCACTAGGACTCCGAGATCCCTCTCACAGTTGCTACTAGTGAGCAAGGTCCCACCTACACTATACCTCTGCATTTGGTTTTCCTTGCCTATATGTAGAACCTTGCTTTTCACAGAGTTTAATTTCATTTTGTTAGATAGCGCCCAGTGTTCAAGTCTGTCCAGATCCTCCTGTATCCCAAGACTGTCTTTTGGAGTGTTGACTTGTGGACTTCAACTCCCAGAATTCCTGAGCCAGGATGGCGGAATTATGGCCCCCTCATGACTCGTGGACTTCAACTCCCAGAATTCCTGAGCCAGCATGGAGGAACTTTGGCCCCCTCATGACTGGTGGACTTCAACTCCCAGAATTCCTGAGCCGGCATAGGAGAACTATGGCCTCCTCATGACTGGTGGACTTCAACTCCCAGAATTCCTGAGCCAGCCTGGCTCAGCTTGGAAACCTCTCCCTTTCCCCTCAGCATGGCTGGCTCATGAATTCTGGGAGTTGAAGTCCACAAGTCATAAGGGAGCCATAGTTTCCCCATGCTTGCTCAGGAATTCTGGGAGTTGAAGTCCACCAGTCATAAAAGAGCCCAGGTTGCCTGCCCCTCGTCCAGCCATTCTTGGTGGTGGTGGGGGGGCTAATTGTGGTGGGTCTGCCACCCACCTCTTAACTTCCACACGGCGAATTCGACATGATGTCATTCTTACCTGAAATAATTGTGTGCCTCCAGACTTCCGGGAGGAAATGGCCGTGCTTTTTTAGCTTGGGCGGGTGGGTGTGCGATCTTTTGAACATGAAACACTTTGGAGAGCAACGGCTTAGGACTGGCTCTTATCAGTGGTTCCCTTTTGGGTGGAGGCCGGCTTAAGTTTCCACTCACATCAGTTTCCAAGAAAGACGTGGGTCCCCTCCAGCACCCTCCCACATTGATTTTGAAAATAATCTGCCTTTTAAAAAAAAGGATTCCCTGGATGTTGTGCTCACCGCTGAATGCAAACGAACAAACGAACAAATTCTAGATAAACTCAGAACGTTCTTCACCAAATGTTCGATTCCTGATAGGTTCTTGTTTCCCGCTTTCAGACAGGATTTTGAGCAGTGATTAAAATAACTACAAGATAAACTGTGTAAAAGTTAACCAAGCATAACATAACTCAGATATAACAAAACTAAGATATAACTTAGTCAGTCTCTCTCTCTCCCTCCCTCTCTCTCTCTCTCTCTCTCTCTCTCTCTCTCTGTAGTAGCAAACATTTGGGCTAAAGTGTGCTCCTTGAATACAGAATAATATAGTTGGAAGGGACCTTGGAGGTCATTTAGACCAACCCCCTGCTCAGGCAGGAAACCCTATACCATTTCGGACAAATGGCTTTCCAGCCTCTTCTTAAAAACTTGCAGTGTTGCAGCATTCACAACTTCTGGAGGCAGGTGGTTCCACTGGTTAATTGTTCTAACTGTCAGGAAATTTCTCCTTAGTTCTAGGTTGCTTCTCTCCTTGATGAGTTTCCATCCGTTGCTTCTTGTCCTGCCTTCAGGCGCTTTGGAGAATAGCTTGACTTCCTCTTCTTTGGGGCAGCCCCTGAGATACTGGAAGGCTGCTATCCTGTCCCCCCTCGTCCTTCTCTTCGTTAAACTAGACATACCCAATTCCAGCAGCCGTTCCTTATATGTTTTAGCCTCCAGTCCCCTGATCCTCTTTGTTGCTCTTCTCTGTACTCTTTCCAGAGTCTCAACCTCTTTTTTACATCGTGGGGACCAAAACTGGTTGCAGTATTCCAAGTGTGGCCTTACCAAGGCTTTATAGCGTGGTATTAGTAACTCACGCGATCCTGATTGAATCCCTCTTTTCATGTAGCCTAGGACTGTGTTGGCCTTTTTGGCTGCCGCTGCACACGGCTGGCTCGTATTTTAAATTCTTGGCCCTTTAAGTGCCAAGTTTCCCAGCTCCTCTCTGACCCTCCAAAGCAGTCCCACGGGGGCTTTTCAAAAGGCAACTGGACTTCCTTGGTTTCAAACATTTCCCTGCTCACCCAAGAAGCTTCTTCCAGTTCTGACTGAATGGTGCGGGAATTGGCGTGCTTTTAAAAAGCCCCTTTGGGTCAACCACGACGTGAGAATCTCAGCGGACACCCTTCAAAGTAGCCTCTGGAATTGTTTCAAACAGAAGCTGTGGGTAGCTCCTAACTTTCTGTTGTGAACTCCAAGCAACCTCAAGGACGGCGTGTGTGTGTGTGTGTGTGTGTGTGTGTGTGTGTGTGTGTGTGTGTGTGTCAAAGGACAGAATGTGGGAGATTTTTTGATGTTTCAGTGGGAGGGTTAATGAAATGAAGGTGGGGACCAAAGCCTCAGGAGGAGGACGAGAGGTGGTCCTGATTGTTGGGTACCCTCCAAATGAAGGGGGGGGGAGCAGATGGAGGAGGCACGAAGGGGAGGGGAGAACGCCAGGGAAGGGGTGTGTTTGTGTGTGTGTGTGTGTGTGTGCGTGCAATGAAATTGTGGAGGGCTTTGAAGGACACTGCGAGGAGCGTTCTGCACTCTCCTTAATAAATATGGGAAAATCCCGGAAGATCAGGCTAAAGCCAACAATGGGGTATGTTTTGGAGAAACAAGAATGAAAAAAAATACAACTTTTCGAGCGTCGCCTTTTGCTGCTTTAACCTGCAATCCCGTTCTTGCGTCTTCCTTTCGAAAAGGGTGGGCTGGAGAAATTGCATGCCAAGAGAACAAATTAATATTAATTTTCCTCCGCAGTTCTTTCTTTTCTTTTTTTTTTGGCATCGGGGACATTCTGGGTTCCAAAACGCCAGAGGCCGCATTCCCAAGAACAGGTGAAACTAAAAGAACAAACTCGGTTGATTTGATTTAAATTGCGTTGCTTGCAGCTGCCTTGGTTATAGGTGTTTTTCTTAATGTTCCCCTTCTTTCATCTTAAATACGACGATTTAATATCAATGGCTGGAGGGAGCCCAGGAACCACCGTCATGGGCTTGGGCAGCTGGGTGTGATGCTGTGCTGAATAGAGTAGAGTGGAATAGAATAGAATAGAATAGAATAGAATAGAATAGAATAGAATAGAATAGAATAGAATAGAATAGAATAGAATAGAATAGAATAGAATAGAAATTGGAAAAGAAATTGGAATAGAAATTGGAATAGAAATTGGAATATAGAATAGAATAGAATATGGAATTGAGCTGGAATAGAATAGAATGGAATAGAATAGAATAGAATAGAATAGAATAGAATAGAATAGAATAGAATAGAAATTGGAAAAGAAATTGGAATAGAAATTGGAATATAGAATAGAATAGAATAGAATAGAAATTGGAATAGAAATTGGAATATAGAATAGAATAGAATATGGAATGGAGCTGGAATAGAATAGAATAGAATAGAATAGAATAGAATAGAATAGAATAGAATAGAAATTGGAATAGAAATTGGAATATAGAATAGAATAGAATAGAATAGAATATGGAATGGAGCTGGAATAGAAAGGTTTTCTAGTCCAGCCCCCTGCTCAAGCAGGAGAACCTATACCATCTCAGAAAGGTGATTGTCCAATCTCTTCTTAAAAACCTCCAGTGATGGAGCACCCACAATTTCTGGTGGCAAGCTGTTCCACTGGTTAATTGTCCTCACTGTCAGGAAGTTTCTCCTTAATTCCAAGTTGCTTCTCTCCTTGACCACTTTCCAACCATTGTTCCCTCTGATGTTTTGGACAATAGTTTGACCCCCTCCTCTCCTTTGTGGCAGCCCCTCAAATACTGGAACACTGCTATCATGTCACTCCTATTTCTTCTTTTCTTTAGACTAGCTAAACCGAAGTCCCGCAGCCGTTCTTCGTATGTTTTAGTCTAGCAAAGCAGTAGCTTTTTCTGGCTGAAAGTAATAGCACTAGCAATAGACTTATACACCGCTTCAGAGTGTTTTACAACCCTCTCTAAGCAGTCAGCCTATGCCTCCCCCCCCCCAACCATCTGGGTCCTTACTTTGCCGACCTCGGACGGACGGAAGGCCGACTCAATTCTGAGCTGGTCAGGATCGAACTGCCGGCCGTCGGAAGAGTCCGCCTGCAATACTGCATTCCAACCACTGGGCCAGCCCGGTAAAGCCAGTAAACTCGACGTGCGTCTTACGTTTGTGTCTGTCTTTCTAGGGCTCCGCAGGAGAATATGGCCAATGGCGTTGAGGAACTCATCGGGATCCCCTTCCCAAACCACAGCAGCGATGTCCTCTGCGGGCTCAACGAGCAGCGGAACGATGGCCTTCTGTGCGACGTGATTCTCCTGGTCCAAGACCAGGAGTACCGCACCCACAAGTCCGTGCTGGCTGCCTGTAGCCAGTACTTTAAAAAACTCTTCACCACCGGCACTTTGGCAGACCAGCCCTACATCTACGAGATCGACTTTGTGACGCCCGAAGCCCTTTCCGCCATCCTTGAGTTCGCCTACACCTCCACCCTGACCGTCACCGCCGCCAACGTCCAGCACATCCTCAACGCGGCCAAGATGCTGGAGATCCCGTGCGTGGTTAAGGTCTGCCTCGAAATCATGCAGCCGGGGGAAGGGGCGGAAGGCGAGAAGGAGGTGGAGGAGGAGGAGGAGGAAGGAGAGGAGGAGGAGGAAGAGGAGGAGGAGGAAGAAGGAGCGGGCGACTTCGCCGAACGGAATCGATCCGATGCTCAAGATCTCAGCTGCCGCCAACGTCCCTCCAAGCCGGAACTTCCAGAGGAAGTCTTCCAGGAGACCACCGACGTCTTCTCCACCCGTCCTCCGTCCGGCAGCTCCAATGGCCCACTGGGCCTTCTCCGAGACTTCTCCATCGAGTCCCTCCTGAGGGAGAACCTGTACCCCAAAGTGAGCCTTCCAGAACGCAGGCCGGTCCTGTCTCCCTTCATGCCCGACCTCTTCCCCCATCTCTGGAACGGGGACTTTGGCCCCTTTGGCCCGGTGGAGGCGCAGCAGGTGGACAGCGCCCCCTTGGACTTGGTGATCAGAAAGCAGAAGATCAAGGAGGAGCAGAAGGAGGAACCGCTGCCCAGCCCCTTCGCCCACAGCCTCTTCAAGGAGGTCTTTGCCAACACGCCGGCGGCCGCCCCCTTGGGCCACGTGAAGGCCGAGAGCGACTACGGCGCCTACTTGAACTTCCTGAGCTCCGCCCACTTTGGCCGGGTCTTTCCTGGCTGGCCCGAAGAAAGGAAGATCAAGCCCAAAGCGTCCCAGCAGTGCCCCATCTGCAACAAAATCATCATGGGGGCTGGGAAGCTCCCACGGCACATGAGGACCCACACGGGGGAGAAGCCCTATATGTGTAACATCTGTGAAGTCCGGTTCACCAGGTCGGCATGCTTTGGAAATTAGGGCTTGGATGGATGGGTGGATGGATGGACGGATGTGTGTGGAGGGGTGGTGGATGGATGGATGGATGGATGGATGGATGGATGGATGGGCGAGTGAATGGATGGGAGGGATGGAGGGATGGGATGGGGTGGGTGGATTGGATGGATGGATGGATGGATGGGTAGTGGAGGGAGGGAGGGATGGGTGAGAGAGTGGATGGATGTGTGGGTGTGGGTGGGTGGATGGATAGATGGACGTATGTATATATGGACATACGTATGTATGGTGTGGGGAGGTGGGAGGTGGATGGAGGGATGGAGGGGTGGATGGGTGAGTGAGTGGATGGAGGGATGGGATGGGGTGGGTGGGTGGATTGGATGGGTGGGTGAGTGGAGGGAGGGAGGGAGGGGTGGGTGAGTGAATGGATGGATTGGATTGGATGGATGGGTGGGGGGAGGGAGGGAGGGAGGGGTGGGTGAATTGGCTGGATGGAGGGGTGGATGGATTGGATGGATGGGTAGGTGGATGAGATGGATGGGTGAGTGGATGAATGGAGGGAGAGAGGGATGGGTGAGAATGGATGGAGGATGGGTGGGTGGATTGGCTGGCTGGAGGGATGGATTGGATGGAGGGATGGGTGAGTGGATGAATGGAGGGAGGGAGGGATGTAGGGATGGGTGAGTGAATGGATGGATGGGTGGGTTGGTGGATTGGATGGATGGATGGATGGATGGGTGGGTGGGTGGATGAATGGAGGGAGGGAGGAATGGGTGAGAGTGGATGGATGGATGGACGGATGGATGGATGGGGTGGGGGGTGGGGTAGATGGAGGGATGGATGGGCGAGTGGATGGAGGGGTGGAGGGGTGGATGGATTGGATGGATGGGTAGGTGGATGAGATAGATGGATGGATGGGTGAATGGATGAATGGAGGGAGAGAGGGATGGGTGAGAATGGATGGAGGATGGATGGGTGGATTGGCTGGATGGAGGGATGGATTGGATGGAGGGATGGGTGAGTGGATGAATGGAGGGAGGGAGGGATGTAGGGATGGGTGAGTGAATGGGTGGGTGGGTGGGTTGGATGGATGGGCGAGTGGGTGGATGAATGGAGGGATGGAGGAATGGGTGAGTGAATGGATGGATAGATGGATGGATGGGTGGGTGGGTGGCTGGATGACAGAGATACGGATAGTCCTCAATGTACAACCACAATTGAGCCCAAAATTTTTGTTGCTAAATGAGACATTTGTTAAGTGAGTTTTGCCCCATTTTATGACTTTTCTTACAACATTTGTTAAGTGAATCCCTGCAGTGATTAAATTAGTAACACGGTTGTGAAGTGAGTCTGGCTTCCCCATTGACTCTGCAGGGCAGAAGGTTTCAAAGGGGGGTCACAGGACCCCGGGACCCTGCGGCGTCCTCATGATGAGTCAGTTGTCAAGCATCCGAATATAATTCATGTGACCCTGGGATGCTTCAACCGTGATAAGGGTGAAAAGTGGTCAGTGCCATTGTACCTTCAGATAGATAGGTAGATAGACAGACAGGCAGGCAAACATGATAGATAGATAGATAGATAGATAGATAGATAGATAGATAGATAGATAGATAGATAGATAGATAGATAGATAGATAGATAGTGAGTCAGTCAAGGCTGCTAACATCGGATGTTCTTGCTTGACAATATATGAAGATGCAGACATTTTCTATTTAACCTGTGTTTCTTTTGGAGTTAAAATTAGGTGGTGCTGGAGGGGAGGGGGAAGAATGTGCTTGGGGACTAGTTAGCCCTAACAATATCTCAGTAGAGTGTTCTTCAAGGTTGGTTGTAATAAGAGAAGATAAGTAATGGCTGGTTATGGAACAGAGGGAAAGTTCGCACTTCAAATTAATTGGAGAATGTGATTAACGATCATTAAATGAAGGAGTGAGTTATGCTTAGATACTGTGTGTTTTGGGGAGGAGAATTCAGATTTTGGCTTCTCTTATGTATGTTGCAAGCTATGTTGCAAATTAAAGATTCTTTAAGGGTAACCAATGCCTCAAAGTTCTTTGAAGAGCTTCTTTTGGAACCATGACAGACAGACAGACAGACAGACAGACAGACAGACAGACAGAAAGAGATAAATGATAGATAACACATGATAGATAGATAGATATAGATAGATAATATAAATAGATAGATAGATAGATAGATAGATAGATAGAGATAAATGATAGATAAGACATGATAGATAGATATAGATAGATAATATAAATAGATATAGATAGATAATATAGATAGATAGATAGATAGATAGATAGATATAAGATAGATAGATATAGTTAAATATAGATAGATAAATATAGATAGATAGATAAATATAGATAAAGAGATAGATATAGATAGATAAAGATAGATAGATAGATAGATAGATAGATATAAGATAGATAGATATAGATAAATATAGATAGATAAATATAAGATAGATAGATAAGACATGATAGATAGATATAAGAGATAGATATAGATAGATATAGATAGATAAAGATAGATAAAGATAGATAGATATAAGATAGATAGATATAGATAAATGTAAATAGATAAATATAAGATAGATAAATAAATATAGATAGATATAAGAGATAGATATAGATAGATAAAGATAGAGATAGATAGATAGATAGATAGATAGATAGATAGATAGATAGATAGATAGATAGATAGATAGATAGATAGATAGATTATAATGAAGATGGTGCTTCTGAATATACACAAATCTCAGCTCCATCTAACACCTTGGAAGCTGCCTTCCACAGTCCTTTTATCTGGGAGTAAGTAAGAGTAAACATCAAAGCATCTCGGACTGTGCTTTAATAGGATGCAGTGGTAAAGGCACAGGTGCTTCTAAGGATAACATGCAGGCAGTCCTTGACTTAGAAACATTCGTTTAACGATCGAAGTTTCAGTGCCACTGAAAGAAGTGACCGATTTTCAAGCTTAGGGCCTTGCAGCATCCCCGTTCTCCTCCTTCGCAGACTCCTCGCACGGAGAAGAGGAGACGGTTGTCCATCTCCATCCTTCTGTATGGCCACCAGCACAGCTGGTGTGTGTGTGGTGTCCTCTTGTGTGGAAGCTCCGAGGTGTGCAGAGCCTCCGTAACTGAAGGTGGCATCCAAACCGTTGGCGTGTCAGCAAAGAGAACGAAAGCTCCTTTTGGGCTGAGCTCCTGCTGACTTCATGGAGCCTCCAGGGAGATGGAGTGCCAACGATGCGGATGTGGTTTGCCATCTGCCTCCTTCAGGGTGTGTTTTTGCCCCAGCTTCCCAGCTGGGTCTACAGCCCACGTGCTCTTGAGAAGGAGCCCTCTCTGACTGCAGAGCATCCACACTCGATCCGTCTCTGGAGGTCCTCCTCGGCTGATCTCCGGCGTGGAAAACAGGGTCCCCTCTGGTTGGGAGTTTAGAGGAAGGATGGGTTGGACATCCCTCAGTTGTTGACCAGACCTGGGGCGCTAATAAAGGAGAGTATTGTTAGCTCGGGGTTGATGTGAGGGGTCCATGGTGCTCTCCGAGATTGCTTGTTTTCTTGCAGACGTTTCATGACCCAACTAGGGAACATCATCAGTGCTAGTAGGGAGTGGGGCTTGCAGAGAGGAGGAGGGGGAGGAGGAGGAGAAGAAGAAGAAGAAGAAGAAGAAGAAGAAGAAGAAGAAGAAGAAGAAGAAGAAGAAGAAGAAGAAGAAGAAGAAGAAGAAGAGAAGAAGAAGAAGAAAAGAAAAGAAGAAGAAGAAGAAGAAGAAGAAGAAGAAGAAGAAGAAGAAGAAGAAGAAGAAGAATAAGAAGAACAACAACAACAACAACAACAACAACAACAACAACAACAACAACAACAACAACAACAACAACAACAACAACAACAACAACAACTGTGGAGTCCTTGGTGTTCCCTGAGCTGGGTGGTTTTCTTGCAGACGTTTCATGACCCAACTAGGTAACATCATCAGTGCTAGTAAGGAGTAGGGGCTTGCAAGGAGGAGGAGGAGGAGAAGGGGAGGAGGAGGAGGAGGAGGGGAGGAGGAGGAGGAGGAAGAAGAAGAAGAGAAGAAGGAGGAGGAGGAGGAGGAGGACTGTGGAGTCCTTGGTGTTCCCTGAGCTGGGTGGTTTTCTTGCAGACGTTTCATGACCCAAACTAGGTAACATCATCAGCGCTAGTAAGGAGTGGGGCTTGCAGAGAGGAGGAGGGGGAGAAGGAGGAGGAGGAGGAGAAGAGGAGGAGGAGGAGGAGAAAAGAAGAAGGAGGAGGAAGAGGAGGAGGAGAAGAAGAAGAAGAGGAGGAAGAGGAAGAGGAGAAGAAGAGGAGGAAGAGGAAGAGGAGGAGAAGAAGAGGAGGAGGAGGAGTAGCGGACTCGGGACACAGCTACATAATAATAACAACAATAATAATAACAGTAATAATAATAATAAGAAGAAGAGAGGAGGGGAGGAGGAGAACTGTGGAGTCCTTGGTGCTCTCTGAGCTTTTTTGTTTTCTTGCAGACATTTCATGACCCAACTAGGGAACATCATCAGTGCTAGTAAGGAGTGGGGCTTGCAGGGAGGAGGAGGAGGAGGAGGAGAACTGTGGGGTTCTCGGTGTTCCCTGAGCTGGGTGGTTTTCTTGCAGATGTTTCATGACCCAAGTTAGGTAGCATCATTAGTACTAGTAAGGAGTAGGGGCTTGCAGGGAGGAGGAGGAGGAGGAGAACAATGACTGTGGGGGCCCTGGTGTTTTCTTGCAGACATTTCATGACCCAACTAGGGAACATCATCAGTGCTAGTAAGGAGAGCTGTTTGCTCTCAGTTTGTATTCTGATGACTTGCCTGTCGGTGTTAGTGGCGGGGGGGGGGGGTGTTAGTCTTTGAAATTCTTTGATTCAGCTGTTTGCTATTGGCTTCTTTGGCAGTTTCTTGATTGGGGCATTGTTTCACCTGATTGTTGGCCTGATGTTAACCTTAACCAGGCTGGCTGGGGAATT